AAACAGGAGAATGTTTAAATGATCCATAAAGCCAGTCAGAATTGGATTTGAGTACCATTTCTACACCTGTGTGTCCAAATCTCCTTACATATAAAAGAGAAAATTTCCAACACTTAATAGTATTGCTATATAAGATGCAAAGCACTGTGTTTAGCTACTTAGAAGCCAGTTACTAAATGATAACTATGTAAAAAAAAGTTCAAAGATTTGCGATTCTTTTGAGATTATTCTTTTTTACCTAGGCATTTTTAGAGAATACGAATAGCCTTCTTTCATTAGTTTGCTTCATCTTTGTTCAGTTAGGGAATGCTTGCTTTCTTAAGTTATAATTCAATGACGTATACTCAGTGCTTCAATATATCTAACCTGATATTGGGGCACCTTCTTCTAAGAAAAGTTCTCAACATTTTACTACAAGAAATAAATTCTTATTGTGAATTTTTCTGGAAACTATAGTTAAAAAGAATTCAGTCATTTCACTAAATGTTTACTGAGAGTAATCATATTACAATTAAAACTATAATAAGCAGCCAACTTGCTACTACTCCCAAAATTTTGAGTATAATATAATAAAATTTACTTAAAAATATATTAGTTTATTATTTAAAGTAATTCAGGACCTCCCCTTTAAAAACTAAATGATTCCATGGTACTTTCAGAGCCTATAATAGCAAAATCATAGGAGCAATTAACATCATTGTGTCCTGACTGACCCCAGTGTTCTAAGTGTATCATCCAAAGTCTCACCTATTGAGATGGACATTCTTTGAAATGCAATAGAAAAAATCTATTATAAAATCAGAGAAAGGATGAATAAATGCCAGGATATAGTTGTAAGTTATTATTACTCTTCTACCACATTAAACTTCTATTTCCTCCTTAAATTTATTGTTAAGAACTTAGCATAGGTAATTTCTGGAATGATTATAGCAATGTAAATAAAGTAATTTCATCTCTACCACCTAAATTTTCAAAGAAACAGGAATTCACTACAAAGAGGCATGAGATAACTTTTGGAGCAATGTTAATATAAACTACTGTTAAACTATATAATCTACTGTTAAAGTATGCTTAGAAAAGGAGACTTTTGAAGAAGGTCAATTATACCTCATTAAGACTATACTTAAAAGGATTTCCAGGATATTAAAAATAAAATACAGCAAATTTTAGTTTGAAAAATGAAGAGAATGAATGTATAACTTTTGAAATATGTAAACTGAAATAGGTATTGAATTTCAAAAGCTTGAGTTTGAGCAGGGTCAGCAGGAAACAACTTCTAAAGTTTATATAGTTTTCACATCTATATATACAAATTTCACACAGATTTTATTTTTTAGCATCTTAAAACTACACATATTTATTATTTCACAGCTTCAATAGGCCAAGAGCATGTACCTCTTTTCTTGATCTTCTGCTTAGGTTCTCACAAACTATAGTTAAGATTTCAGATAGACCTTGACACTCACTCAGAGTGTTCAAATAGGAGAGGATCTACCTCGCACTAATGTGGTCTTGGTAACATTAGTTTCTTTCATCTACAGAAATCTTGGCAACCAACCTTTTGTTTATTTTTTTAAATGAAGTAATTACTGCATTACAGTCATTAAATAAGGTTCAAATTTGCATTGCTGAGAATCAATACATATGCACAAATTTTAGAACATCCTGGGTGAAGAAAAGTTCTGCATTTTTTTTTAATAACAGTTCTGCAAAGTTTTAGAGAAAAAAGTTAGTAAGTTAAAAACAAGTCAAATACAAAGAATTGATTAGGAACCAGAATGGCACTAGGCTTCTTTAAAACAATGTTTTAAACTAGAATTAAATGAAATGGTAATCAGCAAATTTCAGAGGGAGTGCTATAAAGAATGCTGTGTCTTGCTGAAAGGGGAATCACATTTAAGGTTCAAATACATTCATTTCATAATTTTTAGTCTCAAAAATAAATTTACTTTTCTTATAAGGTGTTAAAAAAGAACAAATAATATAGAACACTAGTGGTTCAATATAGCAGACAGGAATAAAAAAAATTCCTGGAATGATGATAAAGGCATCTTGAGGCCAGTGTAGTTCAGCTGGTTATAATCAACTGGTTAAACTGAAAGAGGATCAATCGATCCATGAAAAAATACAACATAGTGAAGTCTTTTGGTATGTTTGATTCTTGAGAGTTTTAAGACGGTTGGAAATTTGGATAAGAATGATAGACACTCAAGAAAGCAAATAAAAATGTAAGGGAATTAGACATAATAAAAATATAAAAGGATGTGTTAGAAAATTATTTTGTTTTATAAGCTCAACTAAGAACAGTATTTCTACAGATACAATTATGTGTACCCTACAGAATTTATGTAGAGTTGTTACACTGTAATAGAGAGCTAAATGCTCATTTTCAACAGAGTTAAATAAACAGTGCCCAAAATGGAAGAATAAAGAAATGATGGTGTAAACATGATGCTTAGATCTCAGAAAACAAATACTGATAAGAAGAAATGGCTAAAACTGAAGATTAGCAGTTTCTTGGTAAGAATATGGTAGCAAAAAATGGCTGCCTTTAGCAGTAGGCTCACATGCATATTATGATTCCACAGAAAGAAAAGCACCCCTGGCTACCCAGATGAGGGCAGAGAAATGACAGGAAAAGAACTAATGTTCTTGAGGACACTGAACACAACATTGAGTTGCCTAATACCAAATCTCCCTCAGACTTTCTAGTTTCCTAGGTCTATATTTTCATTTTGTTTCAGTTAAGATAGTTATGATCCTGTCTTGAAATAAAAGGAGTCCTGTCCCCCAAAATCTGATAAATGGGTAATTTTAAATTTTAGTTCTTTACGAATGTTGTGTATGATGTCTATTTAATTAGCCAGTTTAATCTTGGTTGAAAACCAAACAACACTAT